GCTTCTGCTGTAAACAATTTCCAAAGCTCAAGTTGAAGCTCAGGGTGGAGCTCAAGTTGGAGCTCAGGTTGACTCTGAGCAAGCTTAGGTTGAAGCTCCAGATTGCCATTACATCCTGAATAGGTACATTATCACATGTAAGATAGAGGTATTTATTAAATGACAAGACAGGTTGTTGCTATTACTAAAATTACACCCCACTTATTTACATGTACAGATATCACTAATTTATTTCTAATGCTGCTTTGTAATGATAATAATAATAATAACTTTATTGTATTTTTAGAAATACACAATTTTATAGCAGTATATAGCAATAAAAACAAACATAAACAATGAAATAAAAATAAAAAAACGTGGATAAGATTATTGTATGAAATGGTGTACAGACTAAATGCAATGCCATATTAAAGAATTCTTGCATGCATAGGTATTGTTGTGCAAGTAACAATGATCTCATTCACAATTGTAAAGATAATTTGGTTCATAGTACATCATGGATTAGTGCAAATTATTTCAGTATAAATAACTTACCTAAGATATTATGTTGCATAAATAATGTATCATTTGTCTCCTCTCTACTAACTTTGAATACCAATTTGCAAACATTTGTTAAATTATTACCAGTAACTTTGAACTAAAAGATGAAAAACAAATCAACATCAGAACTGTGAAAATGAAAACTTTATTACACATTTTTGGTATATTAATAAGAAAATATTACAGTTACTAAACTATATAGTCTGTTTGTCCATAACTGGTCTGGAGGACATATACATATAATTCAAAAAGCAGATAATTTAGAACAAAAGCTGTCTATACACAAATACGCACCCAATAAATCAAGTTTACATACACCCACACAATATTTACATTAATGTATACAGTAACAGTGCATGGACTGAATTAAACTTATGAACTTTTCAAAACAAATGACTGCGATAATGAATTTAAACAAATCAGGCACTCATTCATGGCATGAATGAGAGTATGACTACATTCTACTTGATGCTTCTGATCTAGTGGGTGAAAAAACTATCAGTTGCAGTAAACTTGCAAATAAGACCAAACAAAAAATATCCTAACCCGCTTGCACCTGCCAGATTACTTTTTTAGATTTGCATCAAAAAATCACCTGGCCATTGCTGACACTGAGAAATTCTCGCAAACTGCAAGACGTTGGACCAAGAATGTCTGTGCATTTTTCCAACCACATCCATAACCATTGAATGTCTGCTTCAATTTTTTATTTGAAGTTTCGGTGTTTTGTACATTGTTTAAAGAACAAGCAAGATGAGTATAAACTTTTTGGCAAAAAAAAATCTTCATTCAAATGGACAGACAGTACAGTGTCTATACTAACAACGATTGGCATCCAGACATTTACAAGAATGACACAGAAGTATATACTTACAGCTAGTATGAGTCTTGCTAATTTTAACATTAATTTGGGATTATCTATATCTAATAGTCTATAGATAGGCTTCAATACAGATGATCTCCTTTTGGAGGTTCTTCCTAACATATTAGCAGATTCTAATGTACTGTACAGTAAATCACATGAATTACACAGCTTGGCAATCTCCTCAACACTGGCAGCTGAAATAAAAA